TTTTATACAGCCGATTGTGTGTTGTCCCCACTAAGTGCATTAAGTTGGCGGAGTAAGTTCACACTACCGAGGCTAGCGTCGACTTTCGGAGCGTTGCACTGTGGGTAGCTATCCCACAGTTTCTGTAGTCTCCGCTGCCCATAGGAATTAAGCTCCTAATGCCTGATGGGGCAAAAACATTGTCGCAGGTGGTTTTGGGTACATGTCGTCAGTCGCCCCTCCCTCCATGAAAGCAACGGCAGACAATCGTTTCGCGCCTTTTTTCCGTGCGGGCGCCACACTGCTTTCAGCAGACGGTGCAGTAGGACTGCTAACCGTCATCATCCACCACTTCCACTGCCACTCTGCTCTCCTGGTGGTCTCGCATGGCCGCTTCCGCTGCAACTCTGCTCAGCTGCTCTTGTCTCGCCATAACACGGCAAGCATGCAGCCCACTCAGCTGTTGTGTCCTGGCAGCAGACGGTGCAGTCGGTCTGCAAAACTGGTCATCCAACCACTGTTTCCCCTGCAACTCTGCTCTCCTGCAGACGCCATACCATGGCAAGCATGGAGCCTGCTCAGATCACCGCAGCAGTAATGAGCATTGTAAACACCTCGCTCATTATCATGCAGTATATGCAGAAACAGACCTACAAAAGCAGGTGAGGAGGCGATGGCAGCGCGGTGATGAGAGTGATGAGGACATGGACACAGACTTCTCCCAAAGCACGGGCCCCAGCAATTTGGCCATCCTGGTGGCAATGGGGCAGGCTCATGCCATGGAATGCCAATTCTGGGCCCATGAAACAAGCACAGACTGGTGGGACTGCATAGGGTTGCGGGTCTGGAATGATTCCCAGTGGCTGCGAAACTTTCGCATGCATAAGGGCACTTTCGTGGAACTTTGTGACTTGGTATTCTTGCACTTTAGGGCAGGGGAAAGCAAGATGAGAGCAACCCTCACAGTTCACAAGAAAGTGGCGATAGCCCTCTGGAAGCTTGCAACGCCAGACAGCTGCTACTGGTCAGTCGGGAATCAATTTGGAGTGGGCAAATCTACTGTGGGGGCCGCTGTGATTCAAGTAGCCAGCGCAATCACTGAGCTGCTGCTATCAAGGGTAGTGACTCTGGGAAACATACAGGTCACACTAAGATGGCTTTGCTGCAATGGGATTCCCTAACTGTGGTGGGGCGATAGAAGGAACGAATATCCCTGTCTTGGGACCGGAGCACCAAGGCAACCAGTACATAAACCGAAAGGGGTACTTTTCAGTGGTGCTGCAAGCACTGGTGGATCACAAGGGACGTTTCCCCAACATCAGCGTGGGATGGCTGGGAAAGGTACATGACGCTCTCATCTTCAGGAATTCTGGTCCGTATGAACAGCTGCAGCAAGGGACTTACTTTCCATACCCGAAAATAACCATTGGGGATGTTGAAATGCCTATAGTTATCCTTGGGGACCCAGCCTACCCTCAATGCCATGGCTCATGAAGCCGTACACAGGCACCCTGGACAGTAGTCAGGAGCTCTTCAACTATAGGCTGAGCAAGTGCAGAATGGTGGTAGAATGTGCATTTGGACGTTTAAAAGCTCGCTGGCGCAGTTTACTGACTCGGTTAGACCTCAGCGAAACCAATATTCCCATTGTTATTACCGCTTGCTGTGTGCTCCGCAATATCTGTGATAGTAAGGGGGAGACATTTATGGCAGGGTGGGAAGTTGAGGCAAATCGCCTGGCCATTGATAACGCGCAGCCAGACACCAGGGCAGTTAGAAGAGCACAGCAGGGCGTGCTGCGCATCAGAGAAGCTTTGAAAACCAGTTTCATGGCTGACCAGGCTACATTGTGACAGTTCTGTTTGTTTCTCCTTGATGAAAACCCGCTCGCTTGGTTCACTGTACTTCCCTGTAAGCCAACCACCCTCCCCTCCCTCCTTCGATCACCGCTTGCAGAGGCAATAAAATCATTGTTATTTCAAATTCATGCATTCTTTATTAATTCATCACACAAATAGGGGGGATAACTGCCAATGTGGCCCGGGAGGGGTGAGGGAGGAAGGGAGGAGGGAAGGACAAGGCCACGATGCACTTCAAAACTTATTGAATGCCAGCCTTCTGCTGCTTCGGCAATCCTCTGGGGTGGACTGGTTGGGTGCCTGAAGGGGCCCCCCCACCACATTCTTGGGCGTCTGGGTGAGGAGGCTATGGACTTGGGGAGGAGGGTGGTTGGTTACACAGGGGCTGCAGTGGCGGTCTGTGCCTTTCCTGCACCTCAACTATACGCCGGAGCATATCAGTTTGATCCTCCAGTAGCCTCAGCATTGCACCCTGCCTCCTTTCATCATGCTGCTGCCACCTTTCCTCTTGATCCCGCCACTTGTCCTTGCGTTCATTTTGTGCTTTCCTGGACTCTGCCATTGTCTGCCTCCATGCATTCTGCTGGGCTCTTTCAGTTTGGGTGGACTGCATGAGCTCAGAGAATATTTCATCACGAGTGTGTTTTTTTCACCTTCTTGTCTGCACTAGCCTCTGGGATGGAGATGCTAGTGGCAGCGTTGAAACATCTGCAGCTGATAGATAAAGAACGGATGTTGCTTGAATGCCAGCAAACACTGGGACCACATGCTGCCATGCTTTCTTATGCAATGATTCCAGACTACGTGCTACTGGCCTGGTGTGGTAAAGTGTCCTACCATGGAGGACGCAATAAGGCTGCCCTCCCCAGAAACCTTTTGCAAAGGCTTGGGAGTACCTCCAGGACAGCTTCATGGAGATGTCCCTAGAGGATTTCTGCTCCATCCCCAGGGACGTTAACAGACTTTTCCAGTAGCTGTAGTGGCCGCAAAATCATCCCAAGTCTTCAGGACAAAGTAATCATTAAATACGCTTGCTTTTAAAGCATGTATTATATTTACAAAGGTACACTCACCAGAGGTGCCTTCTCCGCCTTCAAGGTCCGGGAGCCCGGGTTGGGAGGGTACTGTCACCAGGGTGATAAACAGTTCCTGGCTGTCGGGGAGAACGGTTTCTCCGCTTGTCTCCTGTGCGCTATCTCCTCCTCCTCATCTTCCTCGTCCCCAAAATTCTCATCCCTGTTGCGTGAGACTCCCTTGCAGGAGTCCACGTACAGGGGTGCGGTAGTTGTAGGGGCACCCACTAGAATTGCATGCAGCTCATCACTGAAGCGGCACGTCTGGGGCTCTGACCCCGAGCGGGTGTTTGCCTCTTGGGTTTTTTGGTAGGCTTGCCTGAGCTCCTTAAGTTTCACGCGGCACTGCTGCGGGTCCCTGTGATAGCCTCTGTCCTTCATGCCCTTGATGATTTTTTTGAAATATTTTGGCATTTTGTCTTTTGGAATGGAGTTCTGATAGCATGGATTCATCTCCCCATACAGCGATCAGATCCAGTACCTCCCGTTCGGTCCATGCTGGAGCTCTTTTGCGATTCTGGGGCTCCATGGTCACCTCTGCTGATGAGTTCTGTATGGTCACCTGTGCTGATCAGCTTGCCACGCTGGCCAAACAGGAAATGAAATTCAAAAGTTCGCAGCGCTTTTCCCCGTCTACCTGGCCAGTGCATCTGAGTTCAGAGTGCTGTCCAGAGTGGTCAGAATGGAACACTGTGGGATAGCTCCCGGAGGCCAATACCGTCAAATTGCATCCACACTAACCCAAATTCAACCTGGCGATGTGAATTTCAGTGCTAATCCCCTTGTCGGGGAGGAGTATAGAATTAGATTTTAACAGCCCATTAAGTCAACAAAAATGGCTTTGTTGTGTGGATGGGTGCAGGGTTAAATCGACCTAATACTGCTAAATTCGACCTAAACTTGTAGTGTAGACCAGGGCTAAGTTAAATCAGTGCAAGTTTGTGTCTGGACTAGGCCCTAGACTCACCGTTGCGTAACTTTTCTAAGTCTTCCTTTGTTTCCACATACTCTTCTTCAAACTGGAAAACAGAAATAAAGGGGGTTGATTGCTATATTTCATGGATCATGAATGAACAATTAGTGGATATTTGCCTTTGGGTACTTTATTTAAAAAGGAGCTAATGCTACATGGAAAATGTTGAGAAACTACAAGAGACAATTCTGCCTTTATGTTTCTTGCCTTGATTTAAAAAATAAAAATAAAAGACATTTGAATGAGAATAGGATCGTTGTTGCTCCATAACTTGTTCTCTAGCAGCTTATCTCCCACAGTAACATACATCACTGCAAGTCATAAAGAAGATTTTTCACTTCAAGTGTTGAGAAGCCAAAGAGGAAAATGAATTCCTAGGAAATGACAATAATTTCAAGAAAATATTCAGCACAGAAATTAAGCCATATCATGCCACACTTTTGCTTGATGTGAATCAAGGTAGCTTTGTTGACTTCGGGAGAGCTGAGCTAACTTATACAAGTTTGAGGATCTGGACAAAAAGTATACAAAATTATCTCTAAACAAAATGTTTTTCAAAGTTATTCATATGGTGTGACTGGGTCTTTAAAGCAAGAGTAAATGAGAGACAATTGAAAATAGCAATCATTCAAAAGAAGTTGGAGAGATTCCTGACTTTGAACAGCAGCAACAATTCAAGATCTCTTCAAATTAATTTTTCTGAACAAGACGATAGCCAAGGACAGTTTCTCCTTGGAAACAGAAACCCTTGTTATTGCAAAGAATGAAATGAATACATTCTACAGGACACGAAATGCCAGTTTCACTAATATCCTTGCTGAATATTATTAGGACCGTGTAAGTAATATATAGGACAGCTGACATGCAGAATTTACATCCAGCTTCTTGTGACTCTTGTACATGTAATCACTTGTGTGTTAGGAGATTGTGCTAATAACTAGTCATTAGTCATACTGTCAAAATAGAACAGTCATTTCAACCATTGATTAATCTGATCACTTTATGAGAAATACAAACCTCAACCCCAGCTGCTGCTAACAGCCATCGGATAGATTCCATTTTACCTCTTCCTTTAGTATAGTGCAGTTTGGGTTTTCCAGCCATGTTTTCAGATTTCTTGTTGCCTGACAAATACAGCAAAGGAAAATTATTTTAAAAGGAAGTATTTAATTTCAAGGGGGGATTTTGAATTTTACGTGCCAATGCAGTAAATATTGCTGAGTGTCTTGCAATGGACATGCACATGAGGAAGAGAGAGGTAATCATGACCTAAATATCTGGGCTTGAGTCATACAAGCCCTCTATGGGCTCAGTGGAGAAAGAGTACCCTCTGTCTGTTTATTGAATGGAAGAGCGAACTGTTTTATAGGGAATTATGGAGCTAATGTTGAACTAGCATTGTCTTATTGATCTGCTTTTTTAAAATTATGATTTATTAGGAATAAGGCAGCAGTGACAGTTTTTATGCCTCTGTGACATTTGGGGATGCAATCTAAACCAGCAAGTGGTTATACCACCGTCTGCCCTACAACCCTGGGTGCATTAAATGCTCTACTGGTGCGGTTTACAGCCCAGACACCAACAGCTAGCAGACAAGGAGGCAATCCCCTGAGCGTCGGTATACTTTGCAGATCTGATTCAGCACCCTGACCCCAGCAGCGTGCCTACCACACATCAGTCCCATAGGTTAAGTGATACCAAGTAGAAGTAATAAGGGTTAAGAGAGGGTTACAAACAAACAAAAGTAGGAATGTGCTTCTAAGACTAAAACTTAATTTCAGCCAGTTACAATCTTTGCCTAAGCAGGTTTTTCCCTATAATCAATTTTATACATGGGGGAAATCTGCGCAACTGTGGGCATGCAGAATTCATGTCCCCTACAGATTTCTTTGCTTCCCTGGATAAAAAATGACTTTCTGATGGGGAAGCAAAGGGAAGCCACAAGACCATTCACATGCCCCTCCACAGCAGCACAGACACGTCCTTTTGGATGCCCAGAAAGGGGGGGGGGGACCCCTCCCATGAGTCTCACCCCCCCTGCACCCAGAACCCCCCCCACCAAGCCCCCGGCACCCAAACCCCAACCCTGCTGAGCCCCACCTGCATGTGGTCCTCCTACTGAGCCCCAACCCCCCTGCATCCAGACCCTCCATATCCAGAACCCCCCCAAACCCTCCCACACCCAAACTTCCACGCTACCAAGTCCCACCCCGCTGCACCCAGAACCCCACACCAAGCCCTCTGCACCTGACCCCGACCCCTGCACCCAGACCACCCCCAGCTGAGTCCCCATCACTCAAACCCCCACCCTGATGAGCCACACCCCTTATGCACCTGGACCACCCTGATGAGCCCCCCCACACCCAGACCCCCACCCCACCAAGCCCCAAGCACCTGGACCCCCTGCTGAGCTCCATTCCCCCCATACACAGACCCCCCGTTTAGTCCCAACCACCTTCACCTGTACCCCCCTGCAGAGTCCTATTGACCCTGCACCCAGAACCCTCCCAACGACCACCTATGCCCCCAGACCTCCCACTGAGCCATTCGCACCCACATAGAACCCTCTCACCCCACACCTGGATCTTGCCAGGCTGAGCCTGCCTGCCCACACCTGGTGCCGAGGAGCTTGGACCCCCAGGTGTTTCTGGGGCAGGCCCAGCCCTTGCGCTGTGTCAAGGTTGTGTGCAGCCTCACCATCAAGTCTGTGTCCCAGGGAGGGCAGGGGGCTGCAGAGTAATCTTCCACCTCCCTGTAGCTCCCCACTGCTGGAGCCTCCACATTTATTTATTGACAAATAAAATTTGCAGAATTTTAAAATATTGTGTGCCAAATTTTTATTTTTGGAGGGTAGAATTTTATTTATTTATTTATTTATTTTTGGTGCAGAATTCTTTCAGGAGTAGCAAACATGACAAGAATTGCTGACACGGTAGTGAACCACAAATGGTCCTCTGTGTTACAGCCACCCACTAGTGGAAAAATCTCTAGACTGAAGAAGAACTGTAGATCTTAAGTATCTGCGAGATTATTTAAATACATTGAAAAAAAATAATTTTCAACTCAGCCTTCAGCACTCACTTTGACCTTATATCCTGAGCAGATCTGTAGGTTGTACTTGGATAAACTACTTTGTCCTTCAGGCTCCAGCCAAAGGCCAATCAATCCCCTCCTGGGATCTAGGCTATCCAGTCTCAGCCACCCAACCTATAAGCCAGTACCTGATCCAACAATGTTTAAATGTGGCTTTGGGACTGGGCTGTGACCCTTTTGGTCTTGCTCTGCAACTCTGCATCTTTTTCACCAATCTGTTCTACATCTACAGCTAAAGCAAAGGCAGCTGCATACACGGTCCCCACCATTTCTATAAACACCAACTGGCAGAATACTTAGGACACCTATGCAGGGATGGCTTCACTCACACCCTGTGGTTCCCATTTGTCTCACTTCCCATCTCAGATATCACCAAGGGGCAGCACTGAGCCTACAATGCTAGTTTCAGTAGTTTCCCGTTTTGTTAACAGTGCTCATCTCACAGCAGCCTTTGCATTCTGCTAAGTCTCCTCTCCAAGGACACAAAGGAAAAGATCTAGAACCCTTGAGGATGACCAGCCTTAAGGCTGAGGGCAAACTCAACACATTGTACGCAAGGTAAATGAATTACTCCATTGTTAGAGACAAAGTTTAATTATTTATGGAACAGCTTTGCAACAATTTTTCAATCTCTTATCAGGGCTCAAAGGTTAACTCTGGTAGCGGAGAATCAGGAAAACACCAGTGAAATAGAGGCCATGAATAAAAGAGTGCATGCCAGTTGGGTGGTGGAGTCTTTTGCATCATTGGCTGTCCCTACCCAAGTCTCCCCATTGGATGTTTTCCTCAACAATTCCCAAATGAATGACTACTGCAATCACTAGAAATTTTGCCTGAGTAAAGACAACAGAATTTGGCTCTCTCTCCCAGCTTCTATTTTGCTTTTCATTCTGCTTTCTGTCTTTTCCTCTGCTCTTTCCTGTTTCCTAACAGCCTGCCTGAAACCACAGACAGCCAATTGCTTCTTCCTTACCCCCTCTCCTAGGCCCTAGATCCTCTTGTTCTCATCCACCCTGCTCACAGGCACCCAAGGCTTCACTGAGCAGCAAACTGAAGCTACTAGAGAGCAAACTGTACTTATCAGTTGAGCTCTGCCCCTATTTGCCTCCAACAACAAAATGCAATTAAGAGATAGAGCATTTATAGTTTGTTCATTTCAATCCCCCCTTCCCCAGGAGTAGTGAAAGGGAAGTCAAATTAACACTTAAACACAAAAGCATGTTAATATCAGTTGGCTGCTCCACTCAGAACAGCTGGGGAGTGGAAAAGAAATCTGAGCTGAAAAAGAAGTGCCTGTACTTACACAAGCAGTACTTACCCAATCCAGTTTCCTGCAGGGAGAAATCAACCTGGAGACGAGTCTATTTGCAAGGGGCCTATGTCAAGGCAGCTTTGGAACACACGGGAATTATGCAAATTGTTCTGAGATTGCCCCACTCCATGATTGGTTCAGGTATGTCCAGCCTGCACATCTGATCATGGCTTAGCCCTGGTCTACACTAGGACTTTAGGTCGAATTTAGCAGCGTTAAATCGATGTAAACCTGCACCCGTCCACACAATGAAGCCCTTTATTTCGACTTAAAGGGCTCTTAAAATCGATTTCCTTACTCCACCCCTGACAAGTGGATTAGCGCTTAAATCGACGTTGCCGGCTCGAATTTGGGGTACTGTGGACACAATTCGATGGTATTGGCCTCCGGGAGCTATCCCAGAGTGCTCCATTGTGACCGCTCTGGACAGCACTCTCAACTCAGATGCACTGGCCAGGTAGACAGGAAAAGAACCGCGAACTTTTGAATCTCATTTCCTGTTTGGCCAGCGTGGCAAGCTGCAGGTGACCATGCAGAGCTCATCAGCACAGGTGACCATGATGGAGTCCCAGAATCGCAAAAGAGCTCCAGCATGGACCGAACGGGAGGTACGGGATCTGATCGCTGTTTGGGGAGAGGAATCCGTGCTATCAGAACTCCGTTCCAGTTTTCGAAATGCCAAAACCTTTGTGAAAATCTCCCAGGGCATGAAGGACAGAGGCCATAACAGGGACCTGAAGCAGTGCCGCGTGAAACTGAAGGAGCTGAGGCAAGCCTACCAGAAAACCAGAGAGGCGAACAGCCGCTCTGGGTCAGAGCCCCAAACATGCCGCTTCTATGATGAGCTGCATGCCATTTTAGGGGGTTCAGCCACCACTACCCCAGCCGTGTTGTTTGACTCCTTCAATGGAGATGGAGGCAATACGGAAGCAGGTTTTGGGGACGAAGAAGATGATGATGAGGAGGAGGTTGTAGATAGCTCACAGCAAGCAAGCGGAGAAACCGGTTTTCCCGACAGCCAGGAACTGTTTCTCACCCTAGACCTGGAGCCAGTAAACCCCCGAACCCACCCAAGGCTGCCTCCTGGACCCAGCAGGCGGAGAAGGGACCTCTGGTGAGTGTACCTTTTAAAATACTATACATGGTTTAAAAGCAAGCATGTGAAAGGATTACTTTGCCCTGGCATTTGCGGTTCTCCTAGATGTAGTCCTAAAGCCTTTGCAAAAGGTTTCTGGGGAGGGCAGCCTTATTGCGTCCTTCATGGTAGGACACTTTACCACTCCAGGCCAGTAACACGTACTCGGGAATCATTGTAGAACAAAGCATTGCAGTGTGTGTTTGCTGGCATTCAAACAACATCCGTTCTTTATCTCTCTGTGTTATCCTCAGGAGAGTGAGATATAATTCATGGTCACCTGGTTGAAATAGAGTGCTTTTCTTCAGGGGACACTCAGAGGAGCCCATTCCTGCTGGGCTGTTTGCCTGTGGCTAAACAGAAATGTTCCCCGCTGTTAGCCACAGGGAGGGGGGAAGGTTGAGGGGGTAGTCACGCGGTGGGAGGAGGCAAAATGCAACCTTGTAACGAAAGCACATGTGCTATGTATGTAATGTTAACAGCAAGGTTTACCCTGAAAGAGTGTAGCCACTGTTTTATAAAATGTGTCTTTTTAAATACCGCTGTCCCTTTTTTTTTCTCCACCAGCTGCATGTGTTTCAATGATCACAGGATCTTCTCCTTCCCAGAGGCTAGTGAAGCTTAGAAAGAAAAAAAAACGCACTCGCGATGAAATGTTCTCCAAGCTCATGCTGTCCTCCCACACTGACAGAGCACAGACGAATGCATGGAGGCAAATAATGTCAGAGTGCAGGAAAGCACAAAATGACCGGGAGGAGAGGTGGCGGGCTGAAGAGAGTAAGTGGCGGGCTGAAGACAGGTCTGAAGCTCAAATGTGGCAGCAGCGTGATGAGAGGAGGCAGGATTCAATGCTGAGGCTGCTGCAGGACCAAACCAGTATGCTCCAGTGTATGGTTGAGCTGCAGCAAAGGCAGCTGGAGCACAGACTGCCACTGCAGCCCCTCTGTAACCAACCGCCCTCCTCCCCAAGTTCCATAGCCTCCACACCCAGACGCCCAAGAACGCGGTGGGGGGGCCTCCGCCAACCAGCCACTCCACCACAGAGGATTGCCCAAAAAAAAGAAGGCTGTCATTCAATAAATTTTAAAGTTGTAAACTTTTAAAGTGCTGTGCTTAAAGTGCTGTGTGGCATTTTCCTTCCCTCCTCCACCACCCCTCCTGGGCTACCTTGGTAGTCATCCCCCTATTTGTGTGATGAATGAATAAAGAATGCATGAATGTGAAGCAACAATGACTTTATTGCCTCTGCAAGCGGTGATTGAAGGGAGGAGGGGCGGGTGGTTAGCTTACAGGGAAGTAGAGTGAACCAAGGGGCGGGGGGTTTCATCAAGGAGAAACAAACAGAACTTGCACACCGTAGCCTGGCCAGTCATGAAACTGGTTTTCAAAGCTTCTCTGATGCGTACTGCGCCCTCCTGTGCTCTTCTAACCGCCCTGGTGTCTGGCTGCGCGTAACCAGCAGCCAGGCGATTTGCCTCAACCTCCCACCCCGCCATAAACGTCTCCCCCTTACTCTCACAGATATTGTGGAGCACACAGCAAGCAGTAATAACAGTGGGAATATTGGTTTCGCTGAGGTCTAAGCGAGTCAGTAAACTGCGCCAGCGCGCCTTTGAACGTCCAAATGCACATTCTACCACCATTCTGCACTTGTCAGCCTGTAGTTGAACAGCTCCTGACTACTGTCCAGGCTGCCTGTGTACGGCTTCATGAGCCATGGCATTAAGGGGTAGGCTGGGTCCCCAAGGATACATATAGGCATTTCAACATCCCCAACAGTTATTTTCTGGTCTGGGAATAAAGTCCCTTCCTGCAGCTTTTGAAACAGACCAGAGTTCCTGAAGATGCGAGCATCATGCACCTTTCCCGGCCATCCCACGTTGATGTTGGTGAAACGTCCCTTGTGATCCACCAGAGCTTGCAGCACTATCGAAAAGTACCCCTTGCGGTTTATGTACTCGGCGGCTTGGTGCTCCGGTGCCAAGATAGGGATATGGGTTCCGTCTATAGCCCCACCACAGTTAGGGAATCCCATTGCAGCAAAGCCATCCACTATGACCTGCACATTTCCCAGGGTCACTAACCTTGATATCAGCAGATCTTTGATTGCGTGGGCTACTTGCATCACAGCAGCCCCCACAGTAGATTTGCCCACTCCAAATTGATTCCCAACTGACCGGTAGCTGTCTGGCGTTGCAAGCTTCCACAGGGCTATCGCCACTCACTTCTCAACTGTGAGGGCTGCTCTCATCTTGGTATTCATGCGCCTCAGGGCAGGGGAAAGCAAGTCACAAAGTTCCATGAAAATGCCCTTACGCATGCAAAAGTTTCGCAGCCACTGGGAATCGTCCCAGACCTGCAACACTATGCGGTCCCACCAGTCTGTGCTTGTTTCCCAAGCCCAGAATCGGCGTTCCACAGCATGAACCTGCCCCATTAGCACCATGATGCATGCATTGGCAGGGCCCATGCTTTCAGAGAAATCTGTGTCCATGTCCTGATCACTCACGTGACCGCGCTGACGTCGCCTCCTCGCTGGTATCGCTTTGCCAGGTTCTGGTGCTGCATATACTGCTGGATAATGCGTGTGGTGTTTAATGTGCTCCTAATTGCCAAAGTGAGCTGAGCGGCCTCCATGCTTGCCTTGGTATGGCGTCCGCACAGAAAAAAGGCGCGGAACGATTGTCTGCCGTTGCTCTGACGGAGGGAGGGGCGACTGACGACACGGCTTACAGGGTTGGCTTCAGGGAGCTAAAATCAACAAAGGGGGTGTCTTTACATCAAGGAGTATTTCAGGCAGGACTTCACGGAGGGTTCCAATAAGAAATGGTGCACCTAAGTTATTGTTCTTATTGGAACAAGGAGGTTAGCCTAGCCTCTGATTGATACATGGCTAGATTTACCTCGCTGCACCTTCTCTGTGAGTGACTGCAGTGTGACCTAGAGGAATGAGTCCCCTAGACAGGGGAGGAGGCAAATGAGTACAAAACAAATCTGGTCTATTTCTTGTTTTGACCCACTCCATCTATCTTTTACATCTTTGGCTGGCAGCAGACGGTGCAGAAGGACTGCATGCCATCCACATCTCATGGCTGCTCGGCAGAAGATGGTACAGTACGACTGCTAGCCATCCTCATCTCTTGCCTGCCTGGCAGAAGATGGTACAATACGACTACTAGCAATCCTCATCTCTTGCCTGCCTGGCAGAAGATGGTACAATACGACTACTAGCAATCCTCATCTCTTGCCTGCCTGGCAGAAGATGGTACAGTACGACTGCTAGCAGTCCGTATCGCCTGCCCGCTCACCATAAGACGGTTCAATAGGACTGACTGCAGGACTAAAGAGAATGACCGGGTCAAGTCACTCCAAATTTAGTCCCTGCGCCCATGCCTGCCCAGGCGCTCCCAGCCGACGTGGCCAGGAGCACCTCGGACACGACGATGACGGCTACCAGTCGTACTGTACCGTCTGCTGCCACAAGGCAAGGGGTTGCTGCTACTGTGCAGCAATGCCGTACCGCGTCTGCCAGCACCCAGGAGACATAGGGTGACGGTTACCTGAGCGGGCTCCATGCTTGCCGTGGTATGGCGTCTGCACAGGTAACTCAGGAAAAAAGGCGCGAAACGATTGTCTGCCCTTGCTTTCACGGAGGGAGGGAGGGAACGGGGGCCTGACGATATGTACCCAGAACCACCCGCGACAATGTTTTAGCCCCATCAGGCATTGGGATCTCAACCCAGAATTCCAATGGGCAGCGGAGACTGCGGGAACTGTGGGATAGCTACCCACAGTGCAACGCTCCGGAAGTCGACTCTAGCCTCGGTACTGTGGAAGCGCTCCGCCGAGTTAATGCACTTAATGCACTTAGAGCATTTTCTGTGGGGACACACACACTCGAATATATAAAACCGATTTCTAAAAAACCGACTTCTATAAATTCGACCTTATTCCGTAGTGTAGACATACCCTTATAGTAGCAAGGCAGTTAAGTGACTCTGTAGCTACATTTTGTGATGGATACATGTTTTTAAAACATTAATAACGTAAGAGAAGTTAAACCATTGTTAAGTTGCCTCTGACTTGATAATAAGATACTAGACATAACCTTTATATTTTGAAAATCTCAGGATTTCCTATCTATTCTAATGCGATGTATTTTCTGTGTCTCAAACAGCATTGCCAGACTCTCAAGGTCCCAGATCCCACTCTGATTGTTAAATATAATTCACACATACTTTTTTGTTTAACCTGATTTAGGTTCTGATCCTGCAATAAGCTCCATACAGGTGGGCCCCCATTTATACAAAGGCCATTGCACGGCCTTATTCCATCTTTCTAATCAGATGTGGTGTTCATAGTAGCTTTTATATCGTAATGCAGTATTCATTTAACAAAGCCTTATGAGGGCTGTTCTAGCAGATTGATCACATGGCATACATCCCACATTAAATCAAATCTGACTCAGTCTAGAGATGTGTGAACCAGTGAACTGGTCTCTGCTGGGACTTGGACCAACAGCGTTTGGATCCAGACCACAAAGTGCCCTAATAGGATTAAGGATAAATTACCTCTGAAGGTTTAAAATTTACAAGTGGTGATAAAACCTTAATCTCTCTTCAGATATGACTAAGAGCTAGAGCCATACTCCTCCCCAGGCCAAGGTGCACAGCTCCATGTCCCAACCCTGCATGATGCTGAGCCCCATAGAGTCAGTGGAAGTTGAGGGTGCTCAGCCCCTTGCAGGAGGCACTCTGCACCACTCAGTACCAGCTGCCAAATGAAGAGTCTAGTTTTTCATCCATGTAAATCTAGCCTTTTGCTTTCACGGCAGCCAAAATGCAGTTCAGCAGTGCACAGGCGACCCTATCTTTTCATGGAGAGTAAAACAAACACCCAGAGGCAGACAAGTTAAACCTAGTGCCACTGCAGACAGTCCTAGACATGTCTGCAGAAAAGAACTATCAAAATGTAACAATGTTAAACAATTCACACAGTGCTGCAAGTTATGCAAAATAAATTGTCCTAAGGCCAGATAGCAATTTGGGCTACATGCCTGCGGGGAGTCTTCAGAGCCCAAACTGCAACTTCAAAGCGCTCTCTACACAGCTATTTTTAGAGCCCGAGCATGAGTCAGTCAACCTGGGCTGGGAGGCTCACTCCCACAGGCTCCCAAATGCTGGGTAGATGTACCGTAAAAGTTCAGATGCCTGTGTCATGCCTAAACCCCAGGCCAAACCACAAAGTGGGGACAGAGGAGCAGGCACCTCCAAGACACAGGAAAAACAACTACTGGCCACCCCTCCCACCAGCAAAAAGGATCCTAGTGAGGACTATTGCGGATTATTACTAAAATTAGTGAGAGAACCATTTCCCCCTTCTCCTCCCCCCATCCCATTTTTATGCTATTTTATCATTTGTCTTACTTTATCCTAACACGGTGCCACAGTCCACATCTCAGGCATGTGAACTGTGAGCACTTTAATGTGTCCCAAGTAAAAAATACCATAGCATAGTAAATCTTTTGACCAATATAAAAACTGTCCAAGTGGCAACCCTAGATAACCACCTGACTCATCCGTGGGGCCCAATGCAATAGATGTGCTCAGAGTATGCCGAATGCCACACAAAATGGCAGGGTCACAAGGAGGCAGCCTCTTCCACAAGGATGTGGGGAAACCCTGGTTCAATTCCCCCCTCTACCTGATGAGGCGATGGGATTTGAACAATGGTTCTCCAGCTCTCGGGTGAGTGCACTAGCTTCTGGACTATGGGATGTTTCCTATTTAAATTGCTTTACTTTAATTAATATCTGATAATTAAATATCGATTGGATCAGAGTGAGAATCACTCTGTAGCCTAGTGGTTAGGACACTCACCTAAGAGGTGGCAGATACCTCCTCAGATCCTTTCTCCTCAGTGGGAAGAGGAGGTAACTGAACAGGGGTGAGTATCCTAACTGCTGAGGTAAAGATTAAGGGAGGAGGCTGCTTTCTTCTCCCAACCCCAAAACTATTTTGTATAGAGTTAGGCAGGCAACTAACTCTCTCTTGCAAGAGAGTTGCTAAATGGCTAAGCTGCCAGACTCCCGGTCATGGATCGCAAACAGAGATAGGACCCTCCCTCGAGCCTGGATTTAGGCACCTAACTCTATGGGAGGGGTGGGATTTAGGACA